CGAACAAGGTCGCTCAGTTGCTTCTGGAAGCAAAATAAAGGATTTTCACAGGGGAGGCTGGAGTCTCCCTCATAGTCACAGCAGCACTACGCTGTCTCTACAAAGCCATGGGTCACCCCACAAGCTGCCACCCATCAGCTCTGTTTCTAACAGGCCAGGACCCAGTGGCTCCTGATTTGCACACACGTGTAGCTTGTCGGCATTTTCAACACAGGAATGAAAACGTAGTAAGAAAAACCGAGAGCATGGAAATCCTGTGGTGTCCCATGGACACTCTCTGGCTTCCCCCCACTCGGTAGAGCTTGGTCGAAGTTTGGGATTTTCAAAAGCATTTTGGTGAAGTTTTCAGAAGTAAAAAAACCAAAAACAAAACAAAAAAAAACCAACTAAGGGGTATGAATTTCTGGGAAGGGGGTCTCAGATAGCTGCACTCAAACAGCAACAGACTGGTGGCTTGTACAGATGGATGCCTAGGTAGCTAAGGAAATATCTTTCTCCCAAGAACTTCCTCATTGGATATAAAAATTGCCATGTACTGGGTCAGACCATAGATCCATCCTGCCCAATCTCACGTGTCACAGAGCAGAGACTGAGAGAGACAGTGAACTGGGTCTGACCAGGATTTTTCCCCCCACTTTTTCTCTCCCACTTCCAGCATTTAAGGTCTAGGAAGTTCAGAGGCCGTGCCCCTAACACCTGTGCTCAATAGCTACTGATGCACCCTTCCTCCAAGAATGCATCCAGTCTCCTTTTGAATCTAATTAAACCATCAGTTTCCCCAACACCTTGCGGCAATGAGTTCCCCACGTTAACAACAGGCCATGTGAAAAAGAACTTGCTTTTGTTACTTTTTTTGGCATTGTGCTGTTAACACAGCCTTTAAAAGGCACTCCAAGAAGTCACAGGCAAGGGTCAGCCTATCAAGAAGCAAAATTGCTTGCACGGTTACCCCAGGATGAAAGTAGCTTAGAAAAGCGAGTCAAAACGGGCAGGTTTAGGAGGAGGAATCGTGCCATTTCTGGGCCCAGCTGCTTACGCAGATGCCCAGCCCAAAGCAAAGGAGGTCTATAACCCACGCTTGTCAGACTGTTCCTTGACTGTTGCTTCAGTCCCAGGTAAGCACACGCTCCTCTGCATAAAATATTAACTGGGCGCCTGAGGTACGATTTCACCTGGCAGATGGCAAAAGATTATCAGGAGAAAGCGCAGGTGAGTGCCAGAGACACGCTAGACTCGGGGCAGGGCTGAGGGAAGCAGTGCGAAAGCCATCGCTGCAGTATTTATAATTCAGCGTCGTCTTCATGAATCCTTCTGCTAACGTCAGGCGTTGCAATCAGGCCACGGCTCCCGTCCTCCGCTTTATTTTGGCTGTAACCTAGTTGCGGCAGAGACTGCATCTCACTGGCTGAAAATCCTCCATCCACCTGAAGGCAGGGGAGGTGGGGTTGCAGAAAATGGGGTTTGGGGCTGAACGTTTTCTTTGGGGAAAAGACCTGCTTGGCAGGGGGAGGACGGGGGAATTGATACTTTTTGCTCCCCGTCCAAAAAAGGGAGAAATCTTCAGGGTTTGTTTTTTTTTGTTTGTTTTTTTTTGGGGGGGGGGGTTGTTTTGTTTTTTTTTTGTTTGTTTTTTTTTTAAAGAAGTGTCAAAATCCTCAACAGAAAACGCACATTGTCCAACCACCTCTCCCCTCCTCATGTCTCGGAGGTGTCTGGTACACCATGCTACCGACTGCATCTGGAGGGGCTCTGACGGAGCATCCGGGCACATCGCCCGATGGCATGGGCCTCCATGCAGCCGCTCCTACTCGCACGGGCAGCTCAGGGTCAGGCCTCAGGGCTCTGGGGTGGAGGTCTGGTGAACACCGAATGCCCGCACAGCTGGACGGGTCCCCCCGGGGACAGGCGGATGCATCCCCCGCTGCATTGTATGCAAGGGAGGAAGCCAGAGTGACTAAGCACCCACTTATCTCAGGAGAAATCATCTCACCGATTAGCAAAATCTGTGTACCCTCCAGAGGGAAGCCAGGGCCACGTGAGTGCCCCTCCTGCTCTGCCCGTACCCGATCCCCAGCTCGGAGTCAGGCTTCATGTAGTCTCTCCGCCGCGGTGCTCATGAACGTGCTCATGCTCCAGCGGTCCAGAACCGACGCCACCTGCCTGGTACCTGTGACAGCCCTGGCCAGAGCTGCATACATCTCCCGGCAAGAATATTTAGCCCTGATGAATTCACTCCTTTTCTCCTCTTTTCCTGGCAAAAAAATCACCCACTTCATACAGGAAAGAATAATAGCAGAGCTCCCTGGAAGTGCCTCCGGCCATGGGTGATGCATTTCGCCTGCAGCCACAATGAAACAGCTGCATGCACGCGCGGCGGCCTGCCCTCGCCCACTGCATCCATCTCCATCTGAACGAGGAGCTCTTCTGCAGAGCTTCCCCTCAAAGTGCTTTGCAAGGGAAGGGTGATATTGCCAGCCCCTGTGTACAGCTGGGGAAACTGAGGCACAGACCAGCAGCACGCAGGCCCCTCTCAGAAATAAGAGGGCTGCTTCTGGCTGCCAGGTGCATAGCAAACCCCCTCCGCTTTGCTGCCCTGTCACTTTAATTTAATTAAGGGGACGTGCACGACATCATGTCTCCGGCAGGATTTTCAGGCTGGAATTCGGCACCTTTGCCACACGCAGCTTAGAAACGTGCCCGTGCCTGACCAAGCTGGAGGCTGCCAGGGACCCTGGCACCTATTTGCATGCACAAACACTTGTTTGCATGTCTGCTGTACATGCCCTTGCAAAACCGGCGGCTGCTTTTTAAAATTCAGGCCCTGCATCTCCCATTTGTCCTCCACCTGAGGATGGAAATGATTGCAAAGTCACATCCAGAGCATTATGGGGGCTTTCAAGAGGGCGGGAATAAGAAAGAGGAGCAGATGAGCTCTTAGGAAACTAAGATCCTATTGGCACACAAAATCCCAGACTAATCAAAAGTACCAGGAAAGGGGAGGAGGGGTACAGAGCACGCAGCACCAGGCAGGCAGAACGGTTTCTTAAGGAAAAGTGCTCGGTGCCTCCCTGCTGTCACTCCTCCAGCTTTGACGGCGATCCCTCAAGATGTATCTGGCCTAATTCCCTGTGAGCGGTTGTCTCCGAGCATCAGCAGGGCAGGGCATTTATGAAACCACAGCCCTAACGAGGCACACTGGTCCTTTGGTCTGCCCCCCACGAAGTCCCCGAGTGCAGCCAGGCCACATGCGTGTCGTCAGCTGGTGGCAAAGCAATACACGGAGCCGGGCATTTCTGTGAAAGGACCCACGTGTGGGCATGGTGCTCAGCCCGGATAGAGACAATCACGCTCAAACCCATCGGGGTGGGTTTCCAAAACCACCGCTCATTTACTTCATCAGTGCTTTGGCTTTGCCATGGTAACCTCAAGGGGTTTCCTAACCTCGGAGCCAGGCCTACACCCAGGCAGATCCCAGTCTCAGACCAGAGGATGCAGGATGGGTCCCTAAAACGCATTAAATGCTGCAATGAGGTGGAAGAAGGAAGCTGTTTGCAACTTTAAGGCCAGCTCTGTTTTATAACAAGGATCTCTCCGGACATGGGAATCCCTCTGTCACTGCTTGTGCCCTGGGCCAGGGAGGCATATGGCTGGGACTCCCTCCCTTTCGTACGGCGTCAGAGATCAAATCTATGAGCCACTGTCTGGTATTAATCGCTCCATGTGTCGATTCCATCTACAAATCCCAGGCTGGGGATTTGTAAAGATTGCTGCTTTCGATTAGGTGCTCTGCTGTTCGTCGGGCATCGCGCTCGCGCAAGGGGCTGCCCAAGATGTTCATCTTATGCAATGTTGTTTTGAAGCAGATCTCAGTCTGTTCAGCTTGACCCACACTTCTCTGTCAAGGTCACTTGTTTGGTGTTGGTATAAAAAGCTGGAGGAATAGGTCTGACCTTTCCAAGCGGTCGGCACACTCCGTTGCTGCCCATCGGTTTGGTTCAGCATCCCCAATCTCTCCCAAGCACTTGTGGGATCCACGTACAAATGGTTTATGACATTTGAGCCTCTTAAGCCTCCATCTGTTCAGGTCTTCATTTAACACTTGGCAGAGCAGGTGATTTTCATCATCTCCTGCCTCTATTGCCAGTGATGATGTTAGGGTCTGTCTTCTTATATCACTTGGTTCAATGCCTGAGAGCACAGGAAATACATCTGTGCGCGTGTAGGTTGTGCAGCCTGTTATGAGTCTCAGCACACCGTTAAGTACTGTGTCGAGCTTTTTAGCGTGACAACTTCTAGATCATACAGGAGCATAATATTCTGCTGGCATATATACCATTGCAAGTGCAGCCGTTCTGATAGCTTTTGACTGATGAGAGCTGGCACAATAACCATGCCTGAATCTCCTTGCTGGGCGCCGAGTGCAACACATGCATCCCAGGTTTGCAGTTTGATAAGCCCCGAGCTGCTCTCACCCTCGAAGGTGCATGCAGCTAGCCCCTAAGACCTGCCGCTGGGTCGGACCACAGGTCTACCCCACACCTGTGACAGCAGCAAGCAGCAGGAACAAGCATCAGAAACCTTTCCCACTCGGTGATGCTGCATTTGCTTCTATTTTAGGCCGAGTCCAGCGTGCACAAAGCCTCGGTCGATGCCAGCCGCACCACCCAGCAGCTGGAGGAAACCATCGATGAGTTCCAGAAGCAGAAGCTGAGAGACATCCAGGTAAAAGGCACCATGCACGGCTCCGGAGAGAGCTACAGCAAGGAGCGGAGGTGGGGAAACCCTGCCTGGCAGCCAGACGGTAAGGCAGCCCGACACATTTAGCTTAACGAAGAGAAGGTTAAGAGGTGACCTGGTCGCGGCAGGTAAGCGAATTTCTAATAGGGTAAGGACTCGCTTCCAGCCGACAAAGGCATAAAAAGCCCTGGTGTTAGACAAAATCCAGCTAGAAACAGCACCCTTTATTGTTCAGCAAGGATCATTTCAGCCATGGGGATGGCTTACATAGGGCTCAGACACGTGACCCAATTAATGCAGAGTGCTTTACCCCACAGTTGCGTTACTCTGAAATAAGGAGAAGACACATGACGGGCTCTCCTAAACTGGTTACCGTCAGCTCATGAATGCTTATGCTCTTTAACCACTCTGGGTAGTCTATCGGGTGCAAATCTCCCCTGCCTTCTGCCTGCAGTCGATGCCATTATAGAGCCAGGCCACTGGACGGCAGGGAGCAAAGGGCTACCCCAGAGTGGGTTTGGCTAGGGGAGCAGATGCACACGTCCTAGGTAGTATAGCTACTACCTGTTTCCAAGAGGCCACTTTCCCCTGGATGCGAGTGATTTACTGCATAATAGGCCTGTGCGCTGTGCATCTGCCCCGCTTTTATTGCGCAGTAAAGGCGATTTACTACGCCATAAATGTGTCTCGTGCCCGTGCTTCAGGAACGCTGTGCCTTCCTCCTTACTTCAAGTGTTTCTATCGAAACGGGACATTTCTTTCCAGCTTAGACGGAAACAGATTTCCTGCAGAAATCCCCAGGAGACAGCCTCCAGGATTACAGCACCCATTTTGGCATTAAGAGTCTAGAAATCCTCCCATCTCATCCCTATACAGTTGGTCTGGAGGATAGGGTTTGGGGCACAGTTTTGACTTCATAGGGAGGTCTCAGAGGACAAGAACCTGTCCCCTTCCCACCCTCTGGATGGCAGTTCCTTCTAGCCAGCGTTAATAAGGATGAAACGCCGTGGCGTTTACAAGCGCCCCATAGAGTCAAAGGAAGCCCCTTCAGACCCCGTCAGGGCCGTTCCCTCCCTGGCCAGAAGGCAACATCATTAAGCTAAATGAATTTGTTTCCCTTGTGCCTCCCTGCTTTGGTACTTGTGCTCTCAGTTCAAGTCTCTCCTCCTCACCCAGGCCTTCCCAGAAGTTAGGGCACTTAGGAGTAGGAACATGCTCATTCATGCTTCTCTTTCTTGCAGAAGATTTTCTCGGACTTTGTTACCATTGAGATGGTTTTCCACGCCAAGGCTCTTGAGGTCTTTTCCAGTGCCTTCCAGACCCTGGAGGACTATGACTTGGAGAAGGACCTGGAGGTACTTGGGGCAAAAACATAGCCTTTGTACAGACACCCAGCACTTGCATAGCAATGTCCATCAGCAGGCCTCAAACCAGTTTACAAGCAGTAACTCAACCATTAAACGTCCCTAGAAGCAGGTGTTTTCACTCAGTGTTTTACACACAGGGAAACCGAGGCACCGAGCGGAGGCATGGCATGCATAAGGTCACTGCAAGTCTTGGGAAGTGAAACCAAGTGTCCCAACTCCTAGGTGCTGCACTCAGCTCTTAGATCAAGGCTCATGGTGGGGTGGGGAACACCCCCCCGAAGTGTGACAGCGACATTCATGTCAGCCACACGTTGTATTTTAAGGGGTAATATTAACATCTGAAGTCCTGCCTGGGCTGTAGTTGCCCAGGACCCCAGATTCGATCAGTTAGATAAGAAAGTCCATCAAATCCATCACCATACAAAGCTGCAGGCTCCATCTCCCTTCCCAGCCAGCACTGATACCCAGTATGAAATCCCTGTGTGCACAGCGATATCAGTGCCTCCACCCCCAGCTCCAGCGACAGCTTCCCCCTCTTGCAGGTGCTCTCTCCTGCCCATCAGGATTGCTTGCTGCTAGCAAACCCCGCGGCACAAGCTGTTGCGAAGGACGCAGGGCTCTGGTCTGTCTTGACCTCTGCCCAGCTAGGAACAGAGGCGAGCACACTGCGCCTCGTTGAGAATAAGCCCGCTCCCCCTCTCCAAATGATTTGTACAGCAGCCGAATGAATTCCCCAGCCCAAATCCTCTCCCAGCAATTTTGCTATTGCCTTGAGCTTAAACCTTGTGTGCTCTTTTGTGCCGACAGCAGCTTGGGCAGCCACAGGAACTATTCTTCTATAATTCCCTTGTCTCGTTACATTCAGTGCCTTGCGCGTCCTGTGATTGCTCTTAGGAATTGTTCTGCCCCAGCCAGCGTGCAACGCAGAGCTCTCTCCTCACGGGTCGCTGCTGGCATTGATCTTTCTTTTCCTTTTTTGCCTCGCTAGGATTTTAGAGCTAAGATCCACATCGCTTCTGGCAATTACAACGCGAGGCCAGGCAGTGCTCTGAATCCCTCCCCCACCCTGCCGTGGTCCACAGGCAGTCAGGTGAGAGACACAATTAGAAACGATTGCCGTCATAATATTTTGCCTTCAGATTAAAGCCCGGCTCCCACCTTCCGCGCGGAGCCTGAGAAAGCAAATTAAAGCCACTCGAGAAAGAAACAGTTCCCGGGAAGAGGAGCGACGGTCCCGACTCCAGAAGCTAATTGGAGGTGGGAGGGCAGGCCAAATGCAGCTGGAGCCACCCTACATCGTGGCACAGATTCCCCTAAATCATGCCTGAACCTCAGGTTCGCACCGACCTATTTGATACGGGGCCCGATGACAAGCAGAGCTGTCACAACAGATAGAATAACATTGGCTAAGGACCAGAGACACGACTGCAGATGCATGGTTTGCTTTTGGGACCACGCGCTTTATCTAGAAGTCTGTGCAGGAAACAGGCACAGCTCATTTCAGAGGCAGAGACCTGCAAGCGAGTGCAGTGTCAAGGCCCCAGCAACAAAGTTCAGATGCAAAGGGCAGTTCACTCTAAGCCAGAGGTGTTGATTAAAGTTCAGGATTCAGCCTCATACCAGTGGTCCTCATACTAAAGGCCAGAGTCTGGCCTTGCTCTGGTGAGAATCAGGAGTAACCTCCATGAAATTAGAAGTTACTTCCGATTTAGGGCAACACAGACAAGGGTGCTGTCTGAAAGGAGGGTCCCCGTAGGGGCGCAGAAGCAGCAACCCATGCATTGCACTGAAGCATAACAGATTTCCCTCTCTTCATTTCTAGACCGTTCAGAGCACCTTACAGAAGATGGTTTTGAGTGAAGAAGACCCCGAAGAAAACACGCTGCAGGATCTCAGCGATACAGAATATGCACCGATTCGACGGTAACACGAGCGGTGCAATTAGCTGGCCACGATCACAACAACTGGACGTGTTTATTCTTCATTTCTTTACTGAACCTTCAATTTTCCATGAAGACAAGGAGCTCTCAGACAGGTCCTGCAGAAGTTTGGAGACCATGCAAATGCACTGAGATGACTCCAAGTAGCTCAGTCAGTCTCCGAATTAGAAGGAAACCAAATGTTTTGTTGGCTAGTTGAACATCCCCTGCTGCAGCCTATGGCATGGGCCGTCTGCCGGCATTGCCTTGCCTTATTACAAACGAGCAACAGGCCCCAAAGCCACACTGCAAGTGTGCCCTGTGCAGGCAAGGCAGAGAGCACTTTGTAGGAGCGTGCAGCGCCTGATGGCTGAAATTTAGGAAGGTGAATTTGTGCCCAACCTCCTGGAACCCAACAATATCTGCCCATCTGTAAGGCATGGCCCATACAACTGGGTGCAACCTCTGAAGAGGCACCCAAACCCTCAGTTAGCCAAGACATTTATACAGTCACCACAGACAGACTCAAACTAGGGATGCCAAAGGCAGGTCTGACCCCTTTACCAGTGACATATAGATGACTTAGTCCCACTTCCAGCTGCTGTCAGGCAGTCCCTGGGTTTCCATCGGCAAGTCTTCCCAATGGGTCTGCTCCCGCAGCTTGCAGAATACCAATAGGGTATACACCAAATAGGTCCAAGGTATCAAAGTATTTCTCCCACGTTTCACTTCACCTACTGTTTTGCAGCACTTGGTTCATTAACTTTGGCACCGGGGGAAAAGCACAGAGAGTGGAGTGGAGCAGGAGCAGCCTTAATACATGCTTGCTGTCGGTGCCCGCCCGCCCTCCCATCCCTCTCTGGTCCCTTCTCAAGGGACTGCTGTGGGGCCAGTGCTTTGCTAGGCAGCACCCGGGCATCTCTCTTCTTCTGCCAGCTGGGGTGGGCAGGGGACCCGCAGGCTGTCTGCCCCTCCAAACTCCAAGCTTGGAGAGCGCATTTTCCCTAATTCACCAGGAGTCCCCTGGAGCCTGCTGCCAGGGAAAACTCCTCAAATTGGCACTCGTCCCTTTTTGGAGCCCACCTTCACCTGCCTTCTCTGCCGAGAAGTCCTACCAGCTTGCTCCCCTGCTGCGGGGCTTCCCTCCAGGTGGAAGAGGCATTGCTAATTCGCAGGGCTTCTGGTTGGTGTAATTAGGAGGCCTTCCCATCCCACAGGGTTTTGCTCTTTGCACCCTTTTCATCTCACCAGCCAGCACCAGTTTGCACTTCAAGGTGACTTGGAGAAGGGGCCCACTATCATGGTGACCTGTGGGTCTGCAGGGATCACTGCAAATATAACTGGGGACAGTCCTTGCCGCTGCCCCTGCCACCTTCATGTGAGCCCTGGCTCCAGGGACTGACTCGGGGGGGCTAACCACTCGTTACTGCAGGCAGTGATGGTACCAGCTCCACACTGCAGGCCAGGATGGCTTGGCCTCAGGTGCACCAATTAAGCAGCTCCCAAAGCACAGGGTGCACCTCTGAGGAGTGATGAGAAGACACTGCTTGTGCTCCACCACCCTTGGCCCACACTACCCATCATCCTCACAGCATCCCAGGAGGCAGGAAAGAAAGGACTTGACCCCTGCTGGCCTTTTAGGTCTTAAGCCGATGCCCTAACCACTGAGCCCCCTTCCTCTGTCAGCAGCCCCTGCACTTATGGGTGCTTCCAGCAGCTCTGCACCCTGCGCATAATCCTGTAGTCAATGAAAAGACCTCCACTGAGCTCTGGACCAGACCTCAAACCACAGCTACGGCCGCCGCAGAGCCCTCAGCCCCATGCAACATGGTCACAGCACCACCAGCCGACGAGGAAAGAGCAGAGCAGCTGGTAGCTCTCGCCACCCCCGTCCTTCCCCCCCCTGCAACCTGATGAACACGCGGCATTTCGGCAGGGCCCGGCTGACTCAGAGAGCCCCCCGCCTTTGGCACACGGCCCCGTGCTGCACACACCTGACCCGCCGTGATGTCACGCTGTCGAACGTCCCAGCACGACGCCCGGGCATCCAAGGAGAAATGGGTCCCATTGATTTTTCCCTTTCAAGGCGCAGGCTATTTTTTTCCTTCCATCAAGCAGCAAATATGCTTTCAGTGCAATAAAGACTGCTGTTCAGTCTGCGGAACAAATGGTTAGCGCCAGCCATTGTACGCAGGGGTGGGAGGGGGGCCGACATGCCGACTTAATGATGGTGATTTAAGCCATTTGGAGCCATTTTCATGGTGCACGTACAGCGCGGGGAAGAATCAAGGGAAGGAGGGAGGGGACACACAACTGAGTGCTTAAAAGGGGAGAGAGAAGCAGCCAAGAGGCGGCAAGCTGTTCGCCCCACGGCTTGGCCAGCCCAACCCAGCTCAGCCCCCACCGTCCTGACCCCAAATCAGCAACCTGCCTTTGCCCTGCTAACAACAGCTGCTCAGAGCAAGGGCCAGCTGGCAGCAGTGGACAGGGGAGCTTTTGCCCCTGCTCCCTCCCCGGCACAGCGCAGAAAGCCGAGGATCGAGCTGGCATCCAGGATCTGGTGCTGGCCTTGCAACGGAGCCCATTTTGCAAGGCTAAGGCTGCAGCCAGGGACATGGGCAGACCGGGCACCGCAACTCCCCATGCTTCTGCTGCTGTGGAAATGGTCTGGTGCAGCAAGAGCTCTCCAAATGAGGCCTTTCCCTCCATGCCTGGCTCTGCATTTGGAAGCCTGACCTGGTGCCCTGCACCATGCCAGCAAAGCGCCTGTGCACCGCTGGCATGGACCCTGACTTGACTGCACGCTTTGCCTGCGTGCCAAGTGCCCGCTGCTGTGCCCTTTCCTTCACGGCCGGCTCAGGGAAACTGGGCAAGGGAAGAAGCCCCCCACCCTTTCCTCCTCTCGCAGCAGGGAGCACAGGGGTGGGGGTCATCACAATTGGACTTCAACAGCTGGCTTTAATAGCCACCGGCTGCCCGGCTTCCAGAGAAGCATCCAGGCGATGCGGACTCTCTCGCATGCCCTGAATGCACCCCCCGGGAGAGTTATACAGGCTTGGAGACAGGACGGCACAGACCAGAGGTGCCCAGCAAGGGTCTGAGCAGGTTTCTGCTACCATAAGGACAGGACGTCGGTTCCTTCCTGGGCTCGCTGAGCGGAGCTGAGAGAGTCTCTGAACGGCTGGTTCATATGCAGCAGTCTCTGCATTCAGAGCTGACCCCTATTAACTCCCTGGTACTTCATCTCAATAGTCCCTGACACTACATGCTACCACATTTGCATTCAGCGCTCGGGGATGAGCGCCCCGGAGCCCCGGCGTGGAGGGATCGATGGGATATCGACACACTTGTCACGCGGCATTTACCCACATCCGTGTGCACATTGCAGGCATGTTTAACTCAGATTGGGAAAGAGAAAAGTTCAGGGCCCGGCCACAGCGCCACCAACTCAGACTGGGATTGCAAAACAAGCTGGCGATGATGGAGAGGTGAAATCCCAGAGAACGGGCTAGGGTGGCATTGCTTGAACTCCTGCCAGGGTGCAGGTAAGGGGCCTGGGAGAGATGTGTCACTGTCCTCCCTGCACAAGGGGCATGTCTGATGGGGAAGGGGGTGTCACTAGGCATAAGTTTCTGCATGGCTGTGTCTTGCAGCGATGGCACCCCTGCAACCCCTGATGCTATCGTCCTTCCATATTCACACCGAGCATTCACCATGAGCACAGTGCCCGGCGAAGGACAGAGTTGCTCCTGCTGCAGCAAACCCCGGCAGGAGCAAGAGGAAGCGGGGAAAAGACAACTTGCAGCAAAACTGCTCCCTCTCGGGTCATCAGAGAGCGCACTGACAGCTGCTTTCTGTGATCTGCAACCCGGCACCCCAAGGGCACCTAGAAGGGGGACCTGGTCCCCAAAAGCCGGAGAGCCACCGTGAAAGGCTGAATGAGGGCCACGAGCCTTACCTGCCTCGCTGCCCGATGTCACCACCATGTCATAGCCCCCGCGGTCTCTGTGCTGGGCATCCTTCAAGCAACCTCGAGACTCGGCTCCTGCGGAGAGGAGGAGAAGGAAATGCAGCGTGAAGTTCAAGGCTCGGCAACTCCCCTCCTGCCAGCCCCGTGTCACCCAGACTCTTGCCGCAGGGCAGCCTGCTCGCCCCCACGGCTCCTGCTCCTACCCGCGCACCCCGGGACACTGCCGCATTTCCTCAGCCCATGCAAGCCACGAGCTGCCATTCGCACCTTGCACCTCTGCAGAGAGCCAGCCGCCTTTGGACAGCACCTTGCAGCATCAGGGCCTTAAAACTGCTATACGGGCAAGGCTGCAGGGGGAATGCCGCTACCTCGGGGGTTCCCCAGCACCCACGGAGGCGACTCAGGACCAGACCCCACAGAAACTGGGCACTGGCAGAGCACAGTTACCCAGGCCAGGCTTCTCCAAGCATGGAAACAAGGACAAGGAAAACAGATGGGTACATGCTTGGATGCCGTCCTGACTCAGACCTCAAAAATCGAGGTGTGCCCGCGACACCAGTGTTGCCATGCCCACTTCTGCAAGGGGGACTCTGAGTTCGGAGGACGCCGAGCTACTCAGCTCTTCCAAAAGTGCCAGATAGGCTGTATCTAAATCGGGTTCTGAACAAGCTGCATCTCCGCGGAGTTACCTCCTCCCCCCGCCCCGCTCCCTCCTTCCAAGGCTATTTTTGAACCGAAAATGCAAGCTGCCAAGGACTCGGCGCACTTGGAGCAGACCTCAGCACTGCGCGCTCCTCTGCTCGGCACTTTTCCTCCACGCTCGCGGCCCAAGAGGAGCTACAGCTGCTTCCCTCGGACGCACGGCTCCCTCCCGCTGCAAAGCAGCTGACCCTTTGCCCTCGCTTGCTCTTCTCGGGGCCTGGCAATATCGGGTGTGCAGCGGGCTTCCCACAGAGCGCTCCCGAGCCCTGCCTTTGCCGGATTCGTGGAGTAAATCCGTGCACCGTGATTAAGGCAGCCGTTCGCACGGCAGGCTGCAGCTGACGGCTTTGTGGGGCACCGGCTGCAAAGCAATTTCAAGGGCAGGGGTCAGTTCATCCCCGTTGCAGCAAAGGTCAGGGTCAGAGAATGCCTTGCCGGCAACTTGTGAGCTATCCCTTTTGTTAGGGCAGACCCCAGAAGCAAGGATCAGGGGCCCTTCGGGCTGGATGCCGTTCCAAACCCTTCCTGGCAGCCCCTGCCCCAGGGAGCTACAGTCAAAATAAACAGGCCAGGAGGGGAAACTGAGGCACAGTGCAGGGACACAACTTGCTCTGGGTCCTATACCAAGAAGTGGCCCTGCTTTTGTGGCCCACCAGTGCCACCCCATCCGGTCTTTGGGCAGTACCAAAATGCAAGCAATACATTCAGGTGGCTGGGGAAAGGTGGGTGGAGGGGTGGGCTACAGCAGGGATGGACTTTCCAAATACTCCCATGTGGGGCTGGTTGGGGAGGGTCCTCTCCTACCCCTGTGCTCCTCTTCTTCTAACCGCAGGGATCCCAGCACCGTGCACTGCCCCGTTCCCGGTGAAGAGCTGCCTGTGGCATCTACAAGCACCGGACGAAGCTTTAATAGCACGGGCTCTGCTCAGCAACTGGAGTGAGCTATGTTGTCCTGACCATGCACACCAGGAGCTGGTTAGCAGAGCAACTTGGAGGCCGTTAACTCCCCTCATTAAATCCCCATGGGCCGCGGGCTCATAGCACCATGACTCCTCCACATCAACAAGCAACCTGCGTGGTCTAGGAATGAGATCCTGGCTTTGCAGGGGTTTTCCAGGGCTGGATTCACTTGAGTCTTGATCTTGCCTATGTGGCAAGCTATTGAGAGCAGACTTGCCACCGATCGCACACTAGAAGTGTCCTCGCAGAGGCTGTGGCCACTGCAGTTCCCACCCCGGCTTGCCGGGCACCAGCTTCCCCACGCACACGAGCTGCTCCGATACCACTCAACAATAGGTGTAAGGCTAGCCCGGCGAGCCCAGTATCACAGGGATAAAATGACCTGCCTCTCAAACAGATGGAGAAGGCCAATTAGTAATTTAAAGCTCAAAATGCTATATAAAGGCTAAGTACTATTACCCTGACATTCAGCTTGGCCAAACCACAAACAATAGTCACTGTAGGTGTTGTTACCCCTCATTAAAATCCCCAGTAATGAGTCACTGAAGCATTTCAGCACAACATGTAGCGCTACCCCACATCAGCATGGCAACTGGGTCCTACAGGCTGTGTCCCCCCCCCTCCCAGTTTGGATACACAGGTCTCCCAGCAAACTAGCTGTAGGCTTCAAGGTCTCACTGGGACATTGCTGCTGCTTGGGAAAGCCCGAGTCAGGGAGCACAAGGGAAACCACAGCTGTGGTGTTACCCCAATCCTTGCACTGGAGGTGAATGGGACATAGCAAGGACACTAGCACAGACGTCCAAAGCAGCACCAGAAGAGTCACCAGATAGGGCACAGGGGAAAGGGGATGTTGGATTACCTCCAAGCATCGGGTTTACACTACCACCACCCCCCTGCTAGCAGAGCTGGAAAGGAGGCCTGCTTTAAATAGGGTCTGAAGCCATACTCCTGCCTCGTTAGCTGGGGAACCACCCAAAGGAGGGGGGGAAGGTTAGGCTGGACTCATCTATATATGAATTATATATATTTTATATATGAATGAGAGATACACAAGCTCCAGCAGACAAGGGCTACAGCTCCCAGGCCCCTGGGGAATGAGCCACGTACAGAAAGGGCACAAGCCCTTGCCTTCCCTTAGCCTGGAGCGAGCCCCATGGAGAAAGCAAATAGCCTATGTAGCTATTATCAGGCTGAAATGCTGACCTGCTGTCTTCAGCTTTTCCCGGCCACTTGCCTAGAGCAACTGCCCTGAGGCTCATAAGCTGCTGAGCAGCCTACATGCCTCTGGCTGTGGTTCTGCACAGGCAGCGTTTTGCTGCGTTTAGTCCTCACCTTGCTGGTTTAAATGCCCTCCCGTTGCTGCTGAGAGCAGTTCTGATCTGATTGATCGTTCCTGGCTAAGCACCTGCATCTGTCGCCTCTGGTCTGAGCTCCTTGGAGCTAGGATGCTGTTTTGCTCGGGTTTGTCTAACGTGCACATCACCGTGGTCTCCGGGCACCCTGGTGTGATTAGTGTCTGTCCATCAGATTTGCCCACCTGTGGCACTGCCATCTTGGTGTGTGGTTCTGCTTGGGGGAAATCCCTCATCTCTTGTGAGCGGGAGCTGGTCAGGCACTTTCTTTGGGGGGCAGTCACTTATCCTGGGTTTTTCTGGGACCAGGCATCCCTTTAATCTTCTCCCAGCCCAGCTCAAGTGTCTGCAGGGTTTATAAGCTGCTTGAAACCTATTATGAAGGGATTACGTGGTGCAGCATAGTGGGCTTTGCTGGAGACAATGCTGCCCCGGCAGAGGTGCTGGAGAGGAGATACAGACCGGTCCATTGACTTACTTTGCTTCTTTAAAAAGCCTTCACAATAGAAAACACCTGCAAAGGAAACAGGAGCCCTGGCTTTTATCCCTGCATCTGGCACCAGCTCATATTAGGGGATGGTTGCCAACTCCCTCACCTCTCTGCCTCAGTTTCCCCATGAGCAAAGTAGGGAATGTGTCCGTAGGGGCAGCAGGGCAGTGCTTTCATGGTCGGGGATGGAGGTGCACAGCATGGCAGCACTGCTGCGGTACCAATGGCCCACTGCTCTGATGAGCACGGAGGGAGTACAGCAGAGGAGGGAGAGAGAAAGGGCTATGTGATTACACCAACAAGTGATTTGAGTGAAGTAATCAGTAAAGGGATGTCTCAACCCCAACGAGCCCTGCCAGCCCCTGGGGAGGAGACCCAGACCCCCTGATCTCTTAGCTCATGACTTTAACCTTTACCTGTATGCACGAGCTGGCAGGGGAGGATTGGCACGTGTACGTGTTGTGTGTATTCGCGGATTCGGAGACAACACGTAGCTGGCCTAACTCCAGCATATGGGTTTTTCCTTCCCCTCCCGAAATATATCTCTTTTTCCAAGCAGTGAACAAAATAAGTCTTCCTTTTACAACCCAAGCAGAGAGGAAGGAGCTATTTATTGCAGCCTGGGGAAACCGTTGCCGATTGCAGCTCTTGGCCACTTTTCCAGGGTTTATAAAAAAAAAAAAAAATTCATCCCATAAATAGACATCTTTGCAGCACAGCCCAAGCTGTGTTGGGATGGGCTGCTCTCCTCAGACAGTTTGGCCCCCGTTCAGGAAAGTGTCCCTCTTCCAGCCAACACTTAAACCCCCACTTAAGTTTAAGCATGTGCGTAAATCCCCGGGAATCAGTGCAAACGAACCTCTGTCACCTCCACCGCATTTTCTGGCATAAACACCCCTGTGCAGTAAAAAGAAGCAAGACTTTCAAGGTTGGGGGGACTGGAGAGCCCAACACTCAGGAGCCGGGGAACTCTGCCCCGTTGGGTCTTGCTAAGGCTCGACGAAAGGCTACGTTCCTTCAAATTGGGGCAGACACCAAAGTCCCCCAGGATTGCCGGGTCAGGCCTGAAGCTGAAACATTGGCCTCTGGCTTTGTGTTTGGAGGGTTGCAATCCATGCAGGAGCTCTGCGGAGAGGCTAGAGATGCTCACTGTGCAAAGCAGAATCAAACCCAGGGGCTGGTCCCATCCTGCCTGGCTAATTCTGCCTGGCCCTTTGCATCTCCAGAGATGAAAAGGGCCCTGAAGTGACACGCCGGCCTGGGACTTAGCCCTGGCTCCCTGCAGGTAGTGGGGCTGACCTCTGTAGTCCAGAAACTCAAAGATGCCTGAGCCACAGGGAAGAAGAGGGGGCAGCTGGGGTCTGAATGAGGAGGGAAAGCAGGTGCCCGTGCTGCAGAAGGTGATCCCTGCTTGAGCCCCATTGCTGGATTTGCCCTTGCAAACCCCGCTGGTGCAAAAGTCATCCATGAGATGTGCAGCTCTGACACCCGGGTGAGAGAGCCCAGGGGATTCGTGTACCCCTACCCCACCCCGCTGATGCTTCTTGATGGGAAACAGGAAAGCAAAGGAGGCTGCTTCACAGAGCCAGGCTCGTTGGCCCTTAGTCTCTCTGTTAAAAAGACACTGCACAAACTAAGTCTATTCCATCTCGGAGGAAAGGCAGCAAGAGGGCACAGCAGCCCCCCTGGCTCTCCAGGGACCTAGCAGATCTCCTGAGGCTAAAAAGAAAGGCCTACAAAGGGTGGAGGATGGGAGTCACCTCCAAGGAGGATTATTCTGCACTGGTCCGGTCCTGCAGGGAGCAGACCAGGAAAGCCAAGGCTGCAACTGAACTCCAGCTAGCTTTGAGCATCAAGGACAATAAGAAGTCCTTTTTCAGATATGTGGGGAGCCGGAGGAAAAGCAGGGGCAACATTGGACCCCTGCTGACCCAGATGGGAATACTCTACATGTGCCAAGTGCATTGTCAGGATGCACGGCAAAGTTTCTGGAGGTGCTACTCCCTTCACTGTGCAAGCCATCCATCATAGAGTAAGCACGTGAGATAATAGATAGGGATAATGACTCATATACTAGCTCTTCTACCAGTAGTTTAGGTCAATAATCTGTAGCTGATACAGATTCCTTCCATTTGAAATAAGGGTGAACAGAATTGTGCTACTCATGGTAGCAATCTCTCACTTGTCTGCTCCTGGGAAAATTCAGTTAAGACAAATGCTACTCCCTCTCCTAGGTTAAGGGGAAGATCTTAATAAGAGACATGTCCCACCAATGAAGAGAATATGTTGCCACTATAGTGGGATTGACTTGATCTAATCAGACTTTTTTAATTTTTAAAGCTATGATTCTATAATACAGGCCCTACAAATCCAGAGTGCTGAGTCAAGCCAGCTTTAGAGATGCAGACTTGGTCCTCTCTGTCACAGCTGCAGTGGGCAGAACCTTGTTGCAGTGTGCAACACTACTGGGAGAGTAGAAAAAGATCCACACATGACTCAAGAACAAACTGTTTTAATCAGGACTGAATATGAACATGACCAGAATAATAATACCATGTAACAACAATTCCATCAATGACTGAGTTTTCCTTCTTTAGTCTCTCAAAGAGTGATTGCTGCTGGAATAAAAAATGTATTATGTTCAATAGTAAATGTTTTTTTTCTCACAATGATATAACACATTTCTGCATTCAAGGGTTTCTGTTATATGCAAGGTTCTCCACCTTGGGAAAAAAAACCCGCAGCATCCTTATAGGCTCAGCAGTGCTATGTTGGCTAGCACTATGGAAGAAAGAGACTTGGGGGTCATCATTGACCACAAGATGAACATGAGCCTGCAATGCGATGCGGCGGCTAGTAAAGCGACCAAAACGCTGGTTTGCATCCATAGATGCTTCTCAAGCAAATCCCGGGACGTCATTCTCCCCCTGTACTCGGCCTTAGTGAGGCTGCAGCTGGAGTACTGTGTCCAGTTTTGGGCTCCACACTTCAAAAAGGATGTGGAGAAGCTTGAGAGAGTGCAGAGAAGAGCCACGCGCATGATCAGAGGTCAGGGAAGCAGACCCTACGATGACAGGCTGAGAGCCCTGGGGCTCTTTAGCCTGAAAAAGCGCAGGCTCAGGGGTGATCTGATGGCCACCTACAAGCTTATCAGGGGTGACCACCAGCATCTGGGGGAACGTTTGTTCACCAGAGCGCCCCAAGGGATGACGAGGTCGAATGGTCACAAACTACTTCAAGATCGTTTCAGGCTGGACATAAGGAAGAACTTCTTTACTGTCCGAGCCCCCAAGGTCTGGGACAGCCTGCCACCGGAGGTGGTTCAAGCGCCTTCATTGAACACCTTCAAAATGAAACTGGATGCTTATCTTGCTGGGATCCTATGACCCCAGCTGACTTCCTGCCCTTTGGGCGGGGGGCTGGACTCGATGATCTTCCGAGGTCCCTTCCAGCCCTGATGTCTATGAAATCTATGAAATCTATGAGCACCAAGACTCTTGCAGGGTTTGCTCAGCAGACAGGAATCGTTGGGTTGGAAATCGGACACACGTGGGAAACCAGGAGTAGTAGGGAGGCAGCATGATCGCTGGCTTGGTCACCCAGGCTGGATGGGACCATGGATCTCTAGAAGAGAAATTTGAAGCAACTTCTCCCCACTTCTCTCCTAGGCCAAGGACATCGAAAGGACCAGAGAGGTCTTCTCGCTCTTCACACTAGCCCCAAGTAGAGATGCGCCA